CATCTTATATGAGGCTCTTTCCACTGTGTGTGTGTGTGTGTGTGTGTGTGAGGAGACAGAGAATCACATATGCGTCGACTACTGCGTAAGTAAACATCACTGCTACTCAGTAGTGTCATTCTCTCTTACTCTCTCTCTCTCTCTCTCTCTCTAAACCCTATCCGATGTATGGATAGCATCATCAACGCTGTAAACTACACGTCATCACAGTCACTCAGTCAGTCAGTCAGTCGACTTGTATACGTCAACGACATGGAAACTTCTAGCCAGTTAGTTATCAGGAATACGCCGACATCAGTTCATCAATAATCAATCAGTCAAACTAGTTCGATCATTTCAAGTGTGATGAAGGCAGTATGATTTGAAGGAAGATGTCTCATTCATCGGATTTGTATTCATGCATGTGTAGGTAGGTATATTTGAAGAGTTCATTGAGTGAATCGCTGAATTTCACTGTTGATCATGAATGGATTAGGCCTCTTACAACAACACTGTTATCATTGTAGGTGTTAGTATTATCAGAATTATTACTGCTATTTTTATTGTTTTCCTTAGTTGGTTTGTGAGGATTAGTTTTGTTTTTACGAGTTGATCAGGGATTGGAATCAGTTAGAGAACCATTATTATTATTATTATTACTATTGTCATATGATGGTTTGTCGCCGTTTGTTGTGAAACGTCCATATTCATTTATGCACCTTCATTCATGCATCATCATTACACACGGTTGTGTGGCGAGTTTATGAATGGGTCTGCTACATGGAACTACTGACATGCTCCCACTACCTCTACACATCATCTCCCCATCACACTGTGTGGCACCCACAATCAACTCGTCATTTCTCATTCCCGTTCCACTGGATCACGTAGATTAGAATGTCACTGAATAAAATTCACACATTAGTTCCAAGCACCTTGATTTCCTCCTGAACATTTGTTGGGTGATGTGTTCTCTGTTGTGTCGCCATCGCCAGAATTCCTACTTGGTCATCTGTTCCAAACGACCTGACACCTTGATAGCACCCAGCATAAAGTAGTATATCGTCCTTTCTCACGAATCGTGTGATTCATCTTGTGATGGAGTTACTATGTCGATCTATCATTTCTCACGCATATTGTCATTTAGTGTGTGATCCACTGATCATCGTCTTTTGTCTCGCCTCGATCTTTTTCGGATCGCCTACCAATGAGAATAACCAAATCCAGACAATAAGATCAATCCATTCTCATGGTTGTGAGCCGACTTAATTATGTTAATGAAAATGTATAAATATCATGTGTTGTTTCTTAAACTATATAGTACAAAATACAATATCTTACATTCACACACCAGCGTCTGTCTTTTGATACTTGAGTGGCTGAGTGAATCAGAAAGTGCAACGGATAAATAGACGTATTTTCTTTTCTGTTCACAGCTCCAATTTCTCTATATTAATCACAAGAGCTTCAGCAATGCGAAGCAGATGTTAGTGTAACGTCTTTTGCAGATTGTTCTTCACTCTGTAGATTATTTTGAAGGAGGCTGTTGTCAGGATGGAATGACCAGTGTTGAAAAATATGTTCAATTATCGTTCTCCTAATACAGCCACTGATGCCAATCTACGACTTTGTGGGATTGTGTTCCTCAACACTTTGAGGGAGAAAACAGGTGGAGGTACCAATATATGCGATTATTATTATTTCCTTTAGTTCCTAGAGGAACATAGGGCTTCAGCTGCACGTCTCCATTGCGTTCGGTTCTCTGCTAGAGTTTTCACCTGGCTCCAAGTCTGCCCACATGCTTTCATCTCCTCTTCACATGATCTCCTCCAGGTCACCCTTGGACGACCAACTCGTCGCTTCCCTTTCGGGTTCCACTCGAGGGCTTGCCTAGTGATGTCACTTGCTGGTTTCCGCAGAGTGTGGCCAATCCATCTCCATTTTTTCTTGCCTATTTGTTTCACAATCGGTTCCTGGTTGGTTGGTATCAGTAGGAGATAACTTGGGTCGTCACACCGTTCCTAGCGTAGCTCCGTTGATAGTAGCAACGGGCATCAACCAAATTTGTCAAACCTCACAACCTACTGATACATTGGCGACGGTATCAGTGGGGGCTGGACTTAGTCGTCATCAATCCAACCCGATGAACCAAACGAATTCAAGAAATATCATGCCGGATCGGCCGTGGCCCGGATTAACAACGACCGCGCTCTCTGCTGCCGTGTCACAGGGCAGAAGTGATAAGTACACTACTGAGAAACACCAGGCCGTGTGTGACCGGCCTCAAGCAGATGTCCCCTGGGCTCTGCGGTCACGCAACACTAACCTTTCTTCTATTTCAGGTACCCAAAGTCTAAACTCAGGCGTGAGGCCAGCAACCCCACCCTGTAAACAAACCTGCTACAGAAACTTCGGCGTGAACAAACTCCTTGCGTCAAAAGACAGACGGAATAATCACACATAACCGATGATCACTAAAAAACAACAACTTTATTCATCATATAACCGCCAAGCAAATGTGTGCAAGGCGGTTTACAAAAAGTGAATCAGCCACAAACGACACCACGAATGCAGCTCATTTTACCTTATGACCTATAATAAAATCGTCTACCATACCACAAATATACACTTTGCAAATTTATCACAAATTTCAATTCCAATGTCGAAATTGACATTCTCATAACCACATTCACTCAAATTGCTGTATTTCGTCGCATCACTTTCGACAGAATATTTCCTAATCTCACATATTTCGAAATACACGCACACAATCATCATACTACTTAAATAAATGATATAAGCGACAGTGCACTCATTCACTGAAAAGTCATCATTCATTCACTCATTCATTAAGCAGAATCACGGATTGATTAGGTTTAGTGGACACACGGCTCATCAGTCACACGCACGTACGCACACACACACGCTGAGACACACTCACGCATACACCATCCTCTCGGAACACTAGTGGATAATAATCAATAATAACAATAACTGTAATAGTGGGACGAGTGTTGATGCTGATTGTTTTTCACTGGACATTCTATTGCTTATATTAGGTGATACCATAATAGTCAAGTGTACAATGTGAAGCATAATTGGTCATATTAGATGACTCTACGCGTCATCATGTTGTTCCTTGCTTTCTCCTCAGTAGTCGAATTTCCGAAAGATACGTCAGTGGTAGAACATTTGTTCCACATTGTCTCCTTCTTCACAATTTTCGAGATGTACACAGTGATGGAAGTGAATTTTCAGGTGCGTCTATCAGAAGAAGAAGAAGAAGAAAACAACACACCTGAAAGCAGTGAAATAGAAGGAATTATATGAACAACTTAGAGCGGAAATGGTATCAAAAGCAGTTTTGCTTTCCTATGACATTTAATGAACTGCTTCCACAATTAATAGTAAAACAATAATAATAGTAGCAGTAGTAGTAATAATAATAATAGTCTGAGTGTAGAAAGTAGAAATAGTGTTGAGATAGATGGATGGATAGATGGATGAATGGTCAGTCGATGGTTTGGTTGAGTGAATACTACGAGGAAGAAATCCATCTGAGGAAATAATCACAATATTGGAAAGTGTTCTTCACTTCACTCGAATCTCATTTCGCTTCATCTCTTCTCCATTGCAATCCACTCTACTTTAATCTACCATTTCTCTACTCTAATTGATTCCACTCTACTCATTCAAACAATAGCATATTCACTTCACTGATATTCACTACATTAACAACATCATTTTCCTCATTGTCAAGTTGCCTTCAAATATTCATTGAAATCATGAGAATTAATTGTTCCCTTCTCAATTTCGTACACTCAGGTAGAGACAAAGTGAGAGGCAGACAGTTTTTCTTGAATTAGAGATCAAGGAAAGACTCAGAAAACCGAAATAATCATTTCACGTTCAGTCGGTCAGTGTGTGTTTCTGTGTGTGTGTGTGTGTGTGTGCCCGAGGTAACCAACCGTATACCATATTCAGGTGTCGTGTGAATAACAGAAGATTTCTGTCCCACACAATTTAATCAGAAACCAATTACGGCCATTCGTCAATTCCAAATTCCTTTTTCATCAGCCTTAAATGATAATCAAATACAAAACCGAAATGAAATGAAATTCACTTTCATTCTAACGCCTGCTCTCTTCTACAACAGTGGGAATTCTCTTCTCTACAGATGAATCAAGTAGTCTGTCTGTCTGTCTTTATATCTGTTTATATTGTTTTCCAATGAAGCCTAAGTGATTCTACTCATAACTGAAATGTGTTCGCCTTGGAGAGCTTGGAGTAACTACTGCTCACCACGTGTAACGCTCGACTCTTTGTGGATTCATATTCATCCAACATGAAGACAAGGGATACGCGAACAGCAGGATGTTGAGGAAAACATGAAAGAATTGTAGAATGATAGGAAATTGTGACGGATAGTAGTGACGAGTGACTGAAGACGGGTGGAGATGAGTGACTCGAACGCATGACCGATTCAGTGATTCTGGAGTGGTCATTCAAAGTGAACTAGGGTTATATGGTTTGAGAGATGAGGATATTCATGGAGAAATGCCTAATGGAGTGTGTGAATATTGAACAGATGTCTCATTTCATCATGATGTTGCAAGAATAACTTCTGAGTTTGGTTATTAATCATGATGACTAGAGTTTAGGCTGAGGAGCAAGAGTAACCTGATAGGATTGATGGTTAATGTTGGAAATAGGAGTGAGTTTAGGACTAGGATTAGGATTTGGTTTCAGAGGGTTTATTCTGGATGACATCTAATGTGTAAGACGTGAACAGCATTTGTTATTGATATTGCACTCATTGACATAGGGATACAACTTGGGCACTGTGGTGGAGAGTAACTTCATTATGCATAAAATGTTATTTTGATAAAACCACACAGTGTTAATCAGTATTATTTACTGACGACGTTTCCATAATGGAGATATTACACTCAGTTTCTCTGAAGTATACTGTTCTCTTACGTATGGAAATTCGACTGGTTATTTGCAGATGAGTGGATAGTTTACTCGTCTGGATAACTATCATTTAACACTCCGTTCAATGGAATATCATCAATGTAACCACTAAGCTATAAAATAGAAATAAGTGTTAATAACGGAATTCCACAGTCATTGCTGACTGGATTCAGTCTGTTTCCACATTCTTATGGCTGTTATCAGTAAGGAGACAATTATTACTAATTCCTCTTCTTATGTTATCGGAAAATGATGCTCTCCTGTCATTTGTTGTGGAAAGGGGAATTACATTCGCACATGATTCCTGCACTCGGTTCCACGAGAAGTTTGTCAATGAGTAATACGACTACTGACATACTTCATTTTCCTGCTCGCATGATCTCACAACAACCTGGATGGGAAGCACAACCAACACACCACTCCTCTCCCATTCAGAATCCACTAGAGAATCTGGTGTAGTATGTCTCCCATTCGAGAGCCTTCTCCTTGTATATCCAATACATCTCCATCTCATTCTGCATAATCTTTGTGAGATATATTCCCAGTTGTTCCGCCATCGACAGAACTCCTCGTTGCTAATTCTTTCCAACCGGCCTCCCACCCGATCTTCAGCTTCAATCAAAGGCAGATGTTAATGCATATATACAGAATGGAGAGGGGAATGATTTTGTTGACGCGAGTTGTGTCTCTGGAGGACATTCCAGCACTGATTTGACAATGGTGTTGGAAATTGATATCTTCTTCTGTATGATGATTGCAGTAGATTTGCACACTGATAATATAGAATAATGCAGGGCTGTCTTTCTCTTCAAATCCTGTCTGACATTGTCATCATCATCATCATCATCATCATCATCATCATCATCATCATCATCATCATCATCATCATCATCATCATCATCATCATCATCATCATCATCATCATCATCATCTGTGTCTAAGCTTCTGCAGTCGTGGAGTGATTATATCCGCTTACTTCTCTTTATTGCTTCTCACCCCTTGTTCTGGAATAATTCTGTCTCCCTCTGCTTCCCTCTCGACTGGTTTCCAGGACATTCGGTCATTCAAGTACTCTGCTTCTGTCGATGTATTGGTTTCCGCCAGCAGCTCTATGGCTACTGATCGTGTTTCTGAACGCGACACGGGTAGTGACTCATTGTCTTCCATCGGTAGTGTGGTTATTGTGAATAAATACAGGGACTCATGCAAACAAACGCTATGGATGCGCTCATGTAATCTAGCTGTGGTCAAGTGTCACCTCCTGTTGTGTAACTTGCAAATGATGAATTGAATTCTATATGTTACCAGATCGTCCGAGTAGCTAAACAGAACTCAGCTGGAATGAATTGATGATTCGATTGTGTTGAATTGAATCAATCCATGTACAGCGAACGTGAGCTCTGTGTCGAAGGAACGGATGGACTGTCCTCTGTCTTAGTCAGTTTGATCCAGCTAGCGAGCATCACTGCTTGATGTCAGTGATTTCCGACTACTACTTATATCAGTCTTCAGTGTATTTGATTGTGTGAAACTTGAAAGTGATTGGTAGGGTTTGATGTGGATGTTGTGAGAAGTAATCTGTGTGAAAGATAATGTTGTGTGTGTGTGTGTATGTGTTTGTCTGAATTATTTCCTAGTAATCAAATAGAGACATTTGAGTTGGAAGAAGAAGAAGAAGAACAAGTGGAAGAAGGGAAGCAGATGAAAATAGCTGTTGCTCAACCTACTGACTGTAGTTAAATCAAATGAATGTACACAACCGGTGTGCATAATTGATATAGAAGTACTCAAGTTAATAGAGCTACACCTGTATTCCTCCATCACACCCGATCATTGACATTCAGCCACCTCAACGATTGTCCACAAGCTTTATAAACCTATTGGCTTATCGACGAAATATGGCATCGGAAATACGTCCGGAAACAAGACGAAATGTTGAGCGAGTGTGTGAGTGAGTGAGTGAGGAAGCACAACAACAACAGCAACAACAGCAACAAATGAAACATCCATGAAAACACCTATTCATCATCATGACAGGCAGTGACAGGCATCTTCCTCACCAGTCATCAACACCCATCAGTAATCATTATGAACATTCAGTCTGCTCACTACGATTACTTCAATTGTAATCATCAATCGACATGATTCTCACGTAGAAACAGCAAACTAATTACCCACACAGATTAGATCATGTTGACACTGAAAATGCAGCCATAAGAAGAAGAAGAAGGGATTTGTGAGGTCAATCACTTCACCTGATTGGTGATAGTGCCTTCTTCCTTCTTTCCTTCCTTTTGTTCTTCCTTCCTTTCTTCCTTCCTTCAATTTCAAGTAGCATCTCACCAATTGGTGAGAAGGGTACACCCGAATTCACTCCATTCGGTGGTGAAAATAGCGTGACCAATCTGTGTGTGTGTTTAGGTGACAGTGTATGCGTGAGTGTATCTGTTCGTGTATGCGGGTTTGTGAGTGACTGATGAGCCAAGTATTGAATAAAGCTACTCGATGAATTGTTACTGCTTGATAAATGAATGAATGAGTGCATTGTCGCTCATATCACTCATTTAAGTAGTATAATGATGGTGTGAGTGTTTTGCGAATTATGTAAAATTTGGCAATATATTGTCGATACAAATGTGACGAAATACAGCATTTTGAGTGAATGTGGTGATGAGAATGTCAATTTCGATATTGAAATTGAAATTTGTGATATTTTTGCAAAGAGTATATTTGTGGTATGGTAGATGATTTTATTACAGGTGATTAGATCGAAGCAAATTCAGCAACAAGGTATCCGCTCTTACTAATTTTTGTAAACCGCCGTACGATTTGGTTCGCATGGCGGTTTGTATACTAAAGAAAGTTGTTAGTAGATGACTGTGTCATATCGTGTCGATAACCTCACTGTCACAACCCCACCTGCCTACCACCACCTACCATCATCTTATATGAGGCTCTTTCCACTCTGTGTGTGTGTGTGTGTGAGAGAGAGAGACAGGGAATCACATATGCGTCGACTACTGCGTAAGTAAACATCACTGCTACTCAGTAGTATCATTCTCTCTTACTCTCTCTCTCTCTAAACTCTATCCGATGTATGGATAGCATCATCAACGCTGTAAACTACACGTCATCACAGTCACTCAGTCAGTCGACTTGTATACGTCAACGACATGGAAACTTCTAGCCAGTTAGTTATCAGGAATACGCCGACATCAGTTCATCAATAATCAATCAGTCAAACTAGTTCGATCATTTCAAGTGTGATGAAGGCAGTATGATTTGAAGGAAGATGTCTCATTCATCGGATTTGTATTCATGCATGTGTAGGTAGGTATATTTGAAGAGTTCATTGAGTGAATCGCTGAATTTCACTGTTGATCATGAGTGGATTAGGCCTCTTACAACAACACTGTTATCATTGTAGGTGTTAGTATTATCAGAATTATTACTGCTATTTTTATTGTTTTCTTTAGTTGGTTTGTGAGGATTAGTTTTGTTTTTACGAGTTGATCAATGAATGGAATCAGATAGAGAACCATTATTATTATTACTATTGTCATATGATGGTTTGTCGCCGTTCCTTGTGAAACGTCCATATTCATTTATGCACCTTCCTTCATGCATCATCATTACACACGGGTGTGCGACAAGTTATTTGTGATAAAATCTGAGGTAGTATTTAACAACAACAACAACAACAACAACAACAACAACAACAACAACAACAACAACAATGAAAGTAACACGTGAGAACAAAGACTAATAATAAGGAGTAAGTTGACAACAGGTGATATACTAATGATCACGTTAGAATGGTCATATATACAGCCTGAGAGACGGGACGAAAATAATCACACATTCGGTTGAAATATCCAAATAAGTATCAATATTGTCAATAGATCGATCAGTAGGGATTTTGTAACCAATTGTTCCGTTACAGTGACATTGTCTGAGGTAGTCGATTGGGTTACCAAACTACTATGATTCATGTACCAGGAAGATTATTGAAGATGAAATTTGAAGAAATCTGGACTGTGATGGAATTAATTCAAGTCAGTGGTCTCTGTGTAACTGGTCCAGTCTACTATAAACTTCACAGAATACCCAGTGTTATCACAGACGTACATATACGTGAATTCGACTGACAAAATGACCTTAGTAGGTGTGGGTTCGGTGGATGATTTGTGTGTCACACAGCACAAACACCATCAGTTTTCCGAAGTAATTGCTATCAAACGCCCGAATCACGATTTATATGTTCACAATGAAGTTGTTGTCGTCAGTATTCGCTGACCCTGGTATCTCCTTGTCTTCACCCTTCATTTTATTTGACTCCTCAATACTTCGCTTTAACCTCGTTCCCTTCAGCCTTAATGACGAACCCAGCATAAAAATAGAATATCGTCCTTTCTCACGAGTCGTGTCATTCATCTTGTGATGGAGTTACTATGTCGATCTATCATTTCTCACGCATATTGTCATTTAGTGTGTGATCCATTCATCATCGTCTTTTGTCTCACCTTGATCTTTGTTGGATCGCCTACCAATGAGAATAACCAAATCCAGACAATAAGATCAATCCATTCTCACGATTGTCAGCCGACGTAATTATGTTAATGAAAATGTATAAATATCATGTGTTGTTTCTTAAACTATATAGTACAAAATACAATATCTTACATTCACACACCAGCGTCTGTCTTTTGATACTTGAGTGGCTGAGTGAATCAGAAAGTGCAACGGATAAATAGACGTATTTTCTTTTCTGTTCACAGCTCCAATTTCTCTATCTTAATCACAAGAGCTTCAGCAATGCGAAGCAGATGATAGTGTAACATCTTTTGCAGATTGTTCTTCACTCTGTAGATTATTTTGAAGGAGGCTGTTGTCAGGATGGAATGACCAGTGTTGAAAAATATGTTCAATTATCGTTCTCCCAATACAGCCACTGATGCCAATCTACGAATTTGTGGGATTGTGTTCCTCAACACTTTGAGGGAGAAAACAGGTGGAGCGACCAATATACGCGATTCAACAGGAACAGGTGAATTCATGTGTGTACACAGAAGTGGTCATATGCGTACGTTCAACAGGAATCCAGCTGTAGATGTATGTCAGTTGACTGTTCTTTGTAAATTTCCTACGGACTGAAGTTATAAGGACTTCTTCGAGTCCTCCTGGAAGTTTATCATGAAGAAAGTGCGGTTGTTTCTACTTTGTTTGATTTTGGAAAGTGAAGATGAATGGTCATCCCAACTTACTCCACCTCCTCCTACTACTACTCCTTCCGCTCCTGCTTCTTCTAGTTGGCTAGGAAGTATGAGCAAACATGGAACTCTGACTACGAACAACTAAGAACCTGTTGTTCAACGAATATACTGATGAATGGACGGGAGATCAAGTGAGCATGCGTTGGAAAAAAATTGAGATATGACGAGGAGGCGTGGAGTGTGACTGAGTGTAGGAGAGTGGAATTCGGGATTGAGTGTGACATCGGCGAACAGTGAGGAGGCTTCGAGATCAAGCGAGTAGCCGATGAGCGAGTTCACGCTGATGGCCGAGTGAAAGAAGACTGTGGAATCAAGACAAATGTTCCAGAACAATGTAACGATTACTCGAAATACCCACGTCAATAATAGTAATCATGAAATACATGTGAGGACCGAATGATTTCCGGGAGTATTGAATATACGAAACGTCTATTTACATAATGGACACATCAATTCAACAACATCCAGATGGATAAATAGCCAACGAACCTGATGAATGAAAAGTCATTCATTGTATGCAACAGCGAACATCACACGTGAAGTAATCCAACTACTCAGGTTGGCTATCTCTGCACCGATGTTCATGTCTTCCTGATAGCTATCTATCTAACCAACCAACATATTTGATTGTTTTAACGTGTTCAAGTCAACTGAATGACTGATTGTGATGATGTGTAGTTTATGGCGTCGTTGTTGTAAATACAATTTGGTCTATTCGAGACAGTGAATGTCACTAATTATTTATATTGATCTTCACATACGGAGTAGTGGATGAAGGTGTGATTCTCAGACACTCACAAACACCATGGCGATGGACTACACGAGAAAGTAGGTGAGCGTGTGGGGAAGTGAGGGGTGACAGACGGAATAATCACACATAACCGATGATCACTA